CCCCACCCTCCCCCCCCCACCCTCACCAACCCACCCCCCCCCCCCCCTCTCCCCCTCCCCCCCCCCCCACCCCTCCCCCCCCCTACACCCTCACCCCCCACCCTCACCCCCACCCTCCCCCCCCCCCCCCCTTGTGTGTCACCTGCGAGACGTCGAGGGCCACTCCCTCGGGCTGGTTCAGCTGCAGCACCTCGAGCAGGACGGGGCCCAGCGTGGAGCTCAGCCTGGCGACCTGCAGCGTCACGTGGGGCCAACGCTGACGGGAGGCGCTCGGGGGTCGACGTCATCGTCGTCGACGTCATCATCATCATCATCGTCGTCGTCGTCATCATCGTCGCCGCCGCGCTCCCAGCCCGCCCCGCCTCCATCGGCACAGCTGTTGTGGCCACCGCCACCGCCGCCGCCACCACTACCACTACCCACCACTACCCACCACCGTCACCACCACCACCACCACCACTACCCACCATCACAACCATCACCACCATCACCGCCACAATCACCACCACCATCACCACCATCACCACCACCCCCACCACCACCGCCACCACCACCACCATCACCACCACCACTACCCACCACCGCCACCACCACCACCCAGCCACCACCACCGCCACCACCACCGCCACCACCACCACCCAGCCACCACCACCGCCACCACCACAGCCACCACCACCACCCAGCCACCACCACCGCCACCACCACCGCCACCACCACCACCCAGCCACCACCACCGCCACCACCACCGCCACCACCACCACCGCCACCACCACCACCACCACCACCACCACCACCACCGCCACCACCACCGCCACCACCACCACCCAGCCACCACCACCGCCACCACCACCGCCACCACCACCACCACCGCCACCACCACCACCACCACCACCGCCACCCCTCCACGCCCATCCCCACCCGTGCCCCGTCCGACAGCTTCACTCCGCGTGGCCTCACCACCACCCACCCCCCCACCCCGCTAACATCGGCTCCTCTCCCGACCACCTGTCCCACCCATCCGTCCCGCCCAGCGCCCTCCGATGTCATCTCAAAGCGCCGCGTGAACGCGGAAGCGGAGATGGAACGGAGCTTCGCGGCTCCTCGGATTGAGGGCCGCCCGTCGGACGACGACGACAACGACGATGACGGACGAGGAGGAGGGAGGAGGAGGGGAGGAGGAGGGGGAGGAGGAGGAGGAGGGGGAGGAGGGGGGAGGAGGGAGGAGGAGGGAGGAGGGGGGAGGAGGAGGGGGAGGGGGGAGGAGGAGGAGGGACGAGGAGGAGGGAGGAGGAGGATGAGGAGGAGGAGGGAGGAGGAGGGGGAGGAGGAGGAGGATGAGGGAGGAGGGGGGAGGGAGGAGGAGGAGGACAACAAAGAGGATGAGGAGGAGGAGGAAGAGGACGAGGAGTGTGACGAGGATGACGAGGATGAGGACGATGAGGATGATGAGGAGGACTGGTCTGGATGACACGTGAGTGTGTGGATGATGATGATGAGGAGGACTGGCCTGGATGACACGTGAGTGTGTGGACAGCGACGATGAGGATGACGATGAGTGTGACGAGGACTGGCCTGGATGACACGTGAGTGTGTGGATGAGGAGTGTGACGAGGACTGGCCTGGATGACACGTGAGTGTGTGGACAGCGACGATGAGGATGACGATGAGTGTGACGAGGACTGGCCTGGATGACACGTGAGTGTGTGGACAGCGACGATGAGGATGACGATGAGTGTGACGAGGACTGGCCTGGATGACACGTGAGTGTGTGGATGATGACGAGGACTGGCCTGGATGACACGTGAGTGTGTGGACAGCGACGATGAGGACGATGAGGACGATGAGGATGATGATGAGTGTGACGAGGACTGGCCTGGATGACACGTGAGTGTGTGGATGAGGAGTGTGACTGGCCTGGATGACACGTGAGTGTGTGGATGATGACGAGGACTGGCCTGGATGACACGTGAGTGTGTGGACAGCGACGATGAGGACGATGAGGACGATGAGGATGATGATGAGTGTGACGAGGACTGGCCTGGATGACACGTGAGTGTGTGGATGAGGAGTGTGACTGGCCTGGATGACACGTGAGTGTGTGGATGATGACGAGGACTGGCCTGGATGACACGTGAGTGTGTGGACAGCGACGAGGAGTGTGATGATGATGATGAGTGTGACGAGGACTGGCCTGGATGACACGTGAGTGTGTGGACAGCGACGCCTCCACCACCATCTTGGTGCCCTGGTCCTGGAGGAGGACGTCCAGCGTCCGTGTGGGCAGCGCGTAGCTGGGGGGGGGGGGGGGGGGGGGGAGTGGGGTGGAAGGGGAGGGGCACGTGGGGGTACAGGCGCAGCCCCTGCAATTGCCCGCTCAAGCCACCGCTGGTTGGCGGGAGGGGCAGTCCCCCGCTCCCGCCACTGGGGACAGTCCCTCCCTCCCCCCATCCCTCCACCCCCTCCCCCCATCTCCCATCCCCTCCCTCCCTCCACCCCCTCCCTCCCCCCATCCCTCCACCCCCTCCTCCCCCTATCCGCCACCCCCTCCCTCCCCCCATCCACCCCCCCCATCCACCCCCCCCCCATCCACTCCCTCCCCCCATCCACCCCCTCCCCCCATCCACCCCCTCCCCCCATCCCTCCACCCCCTCCCCCCATCCCTCCACCCCCTCCCCCCACCTCCTCCCACTCCTCCCTCCCCCCCCCTCTAGCCCGTCACCCCCCCGCCCCCCCCACCCCCCCAGCTCACCTCTCCACGACGCTCACCCCCAGGCGGTTGCACAGGAGGTGAGCGTAGCGAGCAAAGTGCCCCACCAGCACCACGTCATGGCCGCTGAGGCGCACGTTCAGCGTGTCGTACATGAGCTCCGACTTCGACGTCCAGATCGGGTCCGGCTTCGCCTTCGCCTTCCGCCCCTTCCCCTGGAGTCGGGGGGGTCACGTGGGTTCGTGGGGGTCACACGGAGGGGGTCAGCCAGGAGGGAGAGAGAATTCCGGAACGACCCGGTGGACTCCAGACCGGGGGGGATAGGGAGAGGTCACGTGGGTTCGTGGGGGTCACACGGAGGGGTCAGGCAGGAGGGAGAGAGAATTCCGGAACGACCCGGTGGACTCCAGACCGGGGGGGATAGGGAGAGGTCACGTGGGTTCGTGGGGGTCACACGGAGGGGTCAGCCAGGAGGGAGAGAGAATTCCGGAACGACCCGGTGGACTCCGAAAGGGGGGATAGGGAGAGGTCACGTGGGTTCGTGGGGGACACACGGACGGGGTCAGCCAGGAGGGAGAGAGAATTCCGGAACGACCCGGTGGACTCCAGAAGGGGATTCGACCGGGGGGGATAGGGAGAGGTCACGGGGGTTCGTGGGGGTCACACGGACGGGGTCAGCCAGGAGGGAGAGAGAATTCCGGAACGACCCGGTGGACTCCGAAAGGGGGGATAGGGAGAGGTCACGTGGGTTCGTGGGGGTCACACGGACGGGGTCAGCCAGGAGGGAGAGAGAATTCCGGAACGACCCGGTGGACTCCGAAAGGGGGGATAGGGAGAGGTCACGTGGGTTCGTGGGGGTCACACGGACGGGGTCAGCCAGGAGGGAGAGAGAATTCCGGAACGACCCGGTGGACTCCGAAAGGGGGTCGACCGGGGGGGATAGGGAGAGGTCACGTGGGTTCGTGGGGGTCACACGGACGGGGTCAGCCAGGAGGGAGAGAGAATTCCGGAACGACCCGGTGGACTCCGAAAGGGGGGATAGGGAGAGGTCACGTGGGTTCGTGGGGGTCACACGGAGGGGTCAGGCAGGAGGGAGAGAGAATTCCGGAACGACCCGGTGGACTCCAGACCGGGGGGGATAGGGAGAGGTCACGTGGGTTCGTGGGGGTCACACGGACGGGGTCAGCCAGGAGGGAGAGAGAATTCCGGAACGACCCGGTGGACTCCAGACCGGGGGGATAGGGAGAGGTCACGGGGGTTCGTGGGGGTCACACGGACGGGGTCAGCCAGGAGGGAGAGAGAATTCCGGAACGACCCGGGGGACTCCAGAAGGGGATTCGACCGGGGGGGATAGGGAGAGGTCACGTGGGTTCGTGGGGGTCACACGGAGGGGTCAGCCAGGAGGGAGAGAGAATCCGGAACGACCCGGTGGACTCCAGACCGGGGGGGATAGGGAGAGGTCACGTGGGGTTCGTGGGGGTCACACGGAGGGGTCAGCCAGGAGGGAGAGAGAATTCCGGAACGACCCGGTGGACTCCGAAAGGGGGTCCACCGGGGGGATAGGGAGAGGTCACGGGGGTTCGTGGGGGTCACACGGAGGGGTCAGCCAGGAGGGAGAGAGAATCTGGAACGACCCGGGGGACTCCAGAAGGGGATTCGACCGGGGGGATAGGGAGAGGTCACGGGGGTTCGTGGGGGTCACACGGAGGGGTCAGCCAGGAGGGAGAGAGAATCCAGAACGACCCGGTGGACTCCGAAAGGGGGTCCACCGGGGGGATAGGGAGAGGTCACGGGGTTTGTGGGGGTCACACGGAGGGTCAGCCAGGAGGGAGAGAGAATCCGGAACGACCCGGGGGACTCCAGACCGTGGGGATAGGGAGAGGTCACGTGGGTTCGTGGGGGTCACACGGACGGGGTCAGCCAGGAGGGAGAGAGAATTCCGGAACGACCCGGTGGACTCCAGACCGGGGGGGATAGGGAGAGGTCACGTGGGTTCGTGGGGGTCACACGGACGGGGTCAGCCAGGAGGGAGAGAGAATTCCGGAACGACCCGGTGGACTCCAGAAGGGGATTCGACCGGGGGGGATAGGGAGAGGTCACGGGGGTTCGTGGGGGTCACACGGACGGGGTCAGCCAGGAGGGAGAGAGAATCCGGAACGACCCGGTGGACTCCGAAAGGGGGTCCATCGAGTGATCGGGAGAGAGAAGGTGGGGGGGGGCGTCACACGGAAGGGAGAGAGGGGTACGGAGAAAGAACCCGGGACACCCGGGGAACCCTGTGGGGGGGGGGGTCCCTCGGACCGAGCGACGGGGGGAGAAGCTGCCCGCCCGGATCTCGGAAGGTTCAAAGGTCGTACACGGGCGGTCAAACCTGCAGCTTCTGGAGCATGAATTGGAAGCGTCCGATGTCGTGCGTGGGGTGTCGGCGGTAGGCCCTCCGAGCTTCCCACGGCAGCAGCGGCGCTCCGCCTGCCCACGATCCAAGTTGGAGTGGAGAGAGAAGTCAGGAGATGAGGACGGGATGGGGAGAGCGGACAGGTGAGAGGCGGGCGGTGGGGGGGGGGGGGGGGGAGGCGCGAGGGAGATGTGTTGAACTTCTATCGCACCGTACGTGCTGTGTGTGTGTGTGTGTTGAACTTCTATCGCACCGTACGTAGTCAACCGTGGCTGTGTGTGTGTGTGTTGAACTTCTATCGCACCGTACTTAGCTAACCGTGGCTGTGTGTATGTTGAACTTCTATCGCACCGTACGTAGCCAACTGTGCTGTGTTTGTGTGTGTGAACTTCTATCGCACCGTACGTAGCCAACCGCGCTGTGCGTGTGTTGAACTTATTTCACACCGTACGTAGCCAGCCGTGCTGTGTGTGTTGAACTTCTTTCACACCATACGTGCTGTGTGTGTGAATTTCTATCACACCGTACGTAGCCAACCGTGCTGTGTGTGTGTGTGTTGAACTTCTATCGCACCGTACGTAGCTAACCGTGGCTGTGTGTTTGTGTGAACTTCTATCACACCGTACGTAGCCAACCGTGCTGTGTGTTGAACTTCTATTACACCGTACGTAGCTAACCGTGCTGTGTATGTGTGTTCAACTTCTATCACACCATACGTAGCCAACCGTGCTGTGTTTGTGTGTTGAATTTCTATCGCACCGTACGTAGCCAACCACGCTAATTGTAGGTGCGGGGGAAGGACGGCAAACTAAACACAACAACAGCGGCGGGCAGTTGCAATTGAAATGTCGATTTCAACGGTTTTTACGTAACTCGACTCCTATGTTAGTCGTGGTCAATTCTAGTCACCAAAAGATAGTCGACTTCCTGTTCTCCAATCAATTCCAAATTTTGCACACCTACTCAGATCCGGTGACATTGCACGCCCGTATTAAAATCGGCATCGATCGATCGATCGGTCGATTAATTCGATACTTTAAAGGCAATTTACATTTTGCATGGACGCCTTATTATTTACGTAGATACTCATTTGCGTAGGTCACAAACGCCGCGGGCTCTAAACCCTCGAATCGACCTCTGCTCTGTGCGAGCGAGTGACGGAAGTGATCAGTTAGATCAAGGCAAGCTACGCATCATTGACGCACTTCTAGACTGCGAGTTCAATTAAGTTCCTACATCATCATTAGACCTCCTTTGCCAGTACCTAAATGTAATAATAATAATAATAGGGGTTTTTTCTTCTTTGGTTCTTTCGGAAAAGTCACCACGTAGAATGAGAATAAAATTATAAATTGATAAAATAAAATAACACAATAATATTCTCACGACGTTTCATCTGAAGGACGCTTGTGTTGTGGCCGAAACGTCGTGAGAATTTTATTGTGTTATTTTATTTTATCAATTTATTATTTTATTCTCATTCTACGTGGTGGTGACTTTACCGAAAGAACCAAAGAAGATGAATCCTTGCAGTCACGAAAGCTTTAAATCGAAAAGGGTTTTTACCCTTTTTTTGTCTGGCAACAATACTAAAACCGTTTTTTTTTACGAGGATTCATGCCACTGCATTGACCACAATACCTGCAGTCAAAAATGCAAACAAAAAAACGACACTATGATAATATGATGATGCATTGTCCTTGAAACTGATTGGTCCACACCAAGGGACGGCTTTCTTTTGAGCCCCTCGACCCAATTGGTGCTCGACCAGATGACGCCAAAAGGCGTCACACAGCTCAGAGACAACGCCACTAGCAAAGCAATGAGGGCTCGGGGTGAGCATCTACATCATTAGATCTCCTTTGCCAGTACCAAAATAATAATAATAATAAAAGGGTTTTTCCTCTTTTTTCTGGCCACAAAACTGAAACCTTTTTTTACGAGGATTCATGCCACCGCATTAAACACAATACCTGCAGTCTATAATGCAAACAAAAAACATACTAGGATGATATCATAGTATAATAGTATAATATCATAGGTATATATTTTTGTTTGCATTTTCACTGCAGGTATTGTGGTTAATGCGGTGGCATGAATCCTCGTAAAAAGGTTTCAGTTTTGTTGACCGAAAAAAAAGGGGAAAAACCCTATTATTTTTATTTTTATTATTTTGGTACTGGCAAAGGAGGTCTAATGATGATGTAGATGCTCACCCCGAGCCCTCATTACTTTGCTAGTGGCATTGTCTTTGAGCTGTGTGACGCCTTCTGTCGTCATCTGGTCGAGCACCAATTGGGTCGAGGCTCAAAAGAAAGCCGTCCCTTGGTGTGGACCAATCAGTTTCAAGGACAATGCATCATCATATATTATCATAGTATGTGTTTTGTTTGCATTTTGACTGCAGGTATTGTGGTCAATGCAGTGACATGAATCTTTGTAAAAAAAGGTTTCAGTTTTGTTGCCAGAAAAAAGGGGAAAAACCCTATTATTATTATTATTTTGGTACTGGCAAAGGAGATCTAATGATGATGTAGATGCTCACCCCGAGCCCTCATTACTTTGATAGTGGCATTGTCTTTGAGCTGTGTGACGCCTTTGGGAGTCATCTGGTCTCGCACCAATTGGGTCGAGGGGCTCAAAAGAAAGCTGTCCCTTGGTGTGGACCAATCAGTTTCAAAGACAATGCAGCATCATATTATCAGAGTGTCGTTTTTTGTTTGCATTTTGACTGCAGGTATTGTGGTTAATGCAGTAAACATGAATCCTCGTAAAAAAAAGGTTTCAGTTTTGTTGACCGAACAAAAAAAAACAGGGGGAAAAACCCTATCATCATCATCATCATTATTATTTCAATGAAGTTGTCAATAAAACCGTTGTGTTTGTTTTTTTAAAAAAAGTCACATATTTTTTTTTTCTCTTGCTCAAGGAGTTCATTTCGACCGAGATTTCACGAGCGGCTCGGCACCCAGAGGCGGCTTCCGTCCCGAGCGTCGCGAGGCAAGAGGGCCCGTTTCTCTCCGGTGCGCGCTCACCTGGCGGCTCGGCAGGGGAGGTCACAGGCCGCAGCCTGTGAAGAAACAACGAAAGCGGTCAATGGGGTCCCCTCTCCGGAGCAGCGCCAACGTGACCGACCACGACCGCGATGGGGTCGCCGATCGTCGTCGTTGTCGTCGTTCGACTCCACATTGAGAAACGTGCGTTCGGGGCATTGCTTTTCAACACCGGCTTGCTGAACACGGGAGGCTTTCGCGACCGACATCATCCGCAATGAAGGTGCGCTTTCACGGGTTTAAGGGCGCGCACATCTGGCCGTCCGCCGATGACGCCTGTTGGAATTGCTGGCGAGACGCCGCAACCGGTTAGCGCTGTACTAGTAGCGAATTGTTAATGTCGTAGTGGGTTTAACTCTCCAACACACAGCAACCGGTTAGTGCTGTACTAGTAACGAATTGTAAATGTAGTAGTGGGTTTAACTCTCCAACACACAGGAACCGGTTAGTGCTGTACTAGTAACGAATTGTAAATGTTGTAGTGGGTTTAACTCTCCAACACACAGCAACCAGTTAGTGCTGTACTAGTAACGAATTGTCAATGTAGCAGTGGGTTTAACTCTCCAACACACAGCAACCAGTTAGTGCTGTACTAGTAACGAATTGTTAATGTCGTAGTGGGTTTAACTCTCCAACACACAGCAACCGGTTAGTGCTGTACTAGTAACGAATTGTAAATGTAGTAGTGGGTTTAACTCTCCAACACACAGCAACCGGTTAGTGCTGTACTAGTAACGAACTGTAAATGTCGTAGTGGGTTTAACTCTCCGACACACAGCAACCGGTTAGTGCTGTACTAGTAGCGAATTGTTAATGTCGTAGTGGGTTTAACTCTCCAACACACAGCAACCGGTTAGTACTGTACTAGTAACGAATTGTAAATGTTGTAGTGGGTTTAACTCTCCAACACACAGCAACCGGTTAGTGCTGTACTAGTAACGAATTGTAAATGTCGTAGTGGGTTTAACTCTCCAACACACAGCAACTGGTTAGTGCTGTACTAGTAACGAATTGTAAATGTTGTAGTGGGTTTAACTCTCCAACACACAGCAACCGGTTAGTGCTGTACTAGTAACGAATTGTAAATGTAGTAGTGGGTTTAACTCTCCAACACACAGCAACCGGTTAGTGCTGTACTAGTAACGAATTGTAAATGTCGTAGTGGGTTTAACTCTCCAACACACAGCAACTGGTTAGTGCTGTACTAGTAACGAATTGTAAATGTTGTAGTGGGTTTAACTCTCCAACACACAGCAACCGGTTAGTGCTGTACTAGTAACGAATTGTAAATGTAGTAGTGGGTTTAACTCTCCAACACACAGCAACCGGTTAGTGCTGTACTAGTAACGAATTGTTAATGTCCTAGTGGGTTTAACTCTCCAACACGCAGCAACCGGTTAGCGCTGTACTAGTAACGAATTATTAATGTCGTAGTGGGTTTAACTCTCCAACACACAGCAAAAGGTTAGTGCTGTACTAGTAACGAATTGTAAATGTCGTAGTGGGTTTAACTCTCCAACACACAGTAACCGGTAAGTGCTGCACTAGTAACGAATTGTAAATGTTGTAGTGGGTTTAACTCTCCAACACACAGTAACCGGTAAGTGCTGCACTAGTAACGAATTGTAAATGTTGTAGTGGGTTTAACTCTCCAACACACAGCAACCGGTTAGTGCTGTACCAGTAACGAATTGTTAATGTTGTAGTGGGTTTAACTCTCCAACACACAACAACCGGTTAGCGCTGTACTAGTAACGAATTGTAAATGTAGTAGTGGGTTTAACTCTCCAACACACAGCAAGCGGTTAGTGCTGTACTAGTAACAAATTATTAATGTCGTAGTGGGTTTAACTCTCCAACACACAGCAACCAGTTAGTGCTGTACTAGTAACGAATTGTCAATGTCGTAGTCGGTTTAACTCTCCAACGCACAGCAACCGGTTAGTGCTGTACTAGTAACGAATTGTAAATGTTGTAGTGGGTTTAACTCTCCAACACACAGCAACCGGTTAGTGCTGCACTAGTAACGAATTGTAAATGTTGTAGTGGGTTTAACTCTCCAACACACAGCAACCGGTTAGCGCTGTACTAGTAACGAATTGTAAATGTCGTAGTGGGTTTAACTCTCCAACACACAGCAACCGGTTAGTGCTGTACTAGTAACGAATTGTGAATTTTGCAGTGGGTTTAACTCTCACACACAGCAACCGGTTAGCGCTGTACTAGTAGCGAATTGTAAATGTCCTAGTGGGTTTAACTCTCCAACACACAGTAACCGGTTAGCGCTGTACTAGTAACGAATTGTAAATGTTGTAGTGGGTTAACTCTCCGATACACAGCAACCGGTTAGTGCTGTACTAGTAGCGAATTGTAAATGTAGTAGTGGGTTTAACTCTCCAACACACAGCAACCGGTTAGTGCTGTACTAGTAACGAATTGTAAATGTCGTAGTGGGTTTAACGCTCCAACACACAGCAACCGGTTAGTGCTGTACTAGTAACGAATTGTAAATGTTGTAGTGGGTTTAACTCTCCAACACACAGCAACCGGTTAGTGCTGTACTAGTAACGAATTGTTAATGTCGTAGTGGGTTTAACTCTCCAACACACAGCAACCGGTTAGCGCTGTACTAGTAACGAATTGTAAATGTTGTAGTGGGTTTAACTCTCCAACACACAGCAAACGGTTAGTGGTGTACTAGTAACGAATTGTAAATGTAGTAGTGGGTTTAACTCTCCAACACACAGCAACCGGTTAGTGCTGTACTCGTAACGAATTGTTAATGTCGTAGTGGGTTTAACTCTTCAACACACAGCAACCTGTTAGTGCTGTACTAGTAACGAATTGTAAATGTTGTAGTGGGTTTAACTCTCCAACACACAGCAACCGGTTAGCGCTGTACTAGTAACGAATTGTAAATGTAGTAGTGGGTTTAACTCTCCAACACACAGCAACCGGTTAGCGCTGTACTGGTAACGAATTGGCCACGTTCTGTTTATGTGACACAAACCCCTTACCAATTGGCTATGTAGGGTGGTGGCGGGTTTAACGACCACACCATTTTTATATTCACGGGAAAGAAAGTGTTGCACCCTTTCTGGAAATGGACCAGGAGGAGTTAAGATGTTCAAACACCAACTAGAAACCCATCGCAAGGAATCACGTTCCACGTTGGTCCCATGCTGTAGCTGCTCACCCTGAGCTCCGAATGCCCTGATAGTGGCATCGCCCCCTCCCACCCGGCTTAAAAGACACTGCCAAGCTTAGCAGTGTTCATTGGGACGCTGTCTTCCCGACAGCTCTGTGTTTCTTCACCTGAAGACGGCTGCTTGTGTTGTGGCCGAAACGTCGCGATAATGTTATTGTTTCATATTTTTATTATTTTATTATTTCCCTTCTACGTTACTTTACCGAAAGGACCAAGAAGAAAAAGAAAGTGGCATTGCCCTCGCGCTGTTTCGTCCCTTTTGGAGCTGTCCCCTGGTCTGACACCGGTGGTGCGAGACTAGACCATGTAGAAGGCCGCCACCTCTGGTGTAGGCCAGACAGTTTCAAAGGCAATGCCATGAACAGCAAAACCTTGGGATTGCGAGGAGTAACTTGGTTCTCTGCGAGTGCCTTGCAAAACGAGCAAAACATTTGTAAATAAATATTAACTTGATGTATACGAGCGAGGAGCCTTGCAATACGAGTAGTAGTAACGTGTACACGCTTTGTACTGCCGAGCATCACGTGATCACAACTGATGTATACGAGCGAGGGTCTTGCAATACGAGTAGTAGGTGTACACGCTTTGTACTGCCGAGCGTCACGTGATCACAACTGATGTATACGAGCGAGAAGCCTTACAAGACGAGTAGTAGTACGTGTACACGCTTTGTACTGCCGAGCATCACGTGATCACAACTGATGTATACGAGCGAGGGTCTTGCAATACGAGTAGTAGTACGTGTACACGCTTTGTACTGCCGAGCGTCACGTGAAACACAACCGACATATACGAGCGAGGGTCTTCGCAATACGAGTAGTAGTAGGTGTACACGCTTTGTACTGCCGAGCGTCACGTGATCACAACCGACGTATACGAGCGAGGGTCTTGCAATACGAGTAGTAGGTGTACACGCTTTGTACTGCCGAGCGTCACGTGATCACAACTTATGTATACGAGCGAGGGTCTTGCAATACGAGTAGTAGGTGTACACGCTTTGTACTGCCGAGCGTCACGTGATCACAACCGACGTACGAGCGAGGAGCCTTGCAATACGAGTAGTAGTAGGTGTACACGCTTTGTACTGCCGAGCATCACGTGATCACAACTGACGTATGAGTGAGGGTCTTCGCAATACGAGTAGTAGTACGTGTACACGCTTTGTACTGCCGAGCATCACGTGATCACAACTGACGTACAAGCGCTTTGACGTATACGAGCGCTTTGGATTACAAGCGCGTGTTTCCGGAGCGAATTATGCTCGCGGTGCCAAGGTTTTACTGCGCGTCTACACGCGGGTTTATTTGTTTCGCGAAGCTGAGAATTTGCACGCGGGCAGACGATCATGGAGGGCGCTTTGTTGAGCTCGGTTGTGGTCTGGGGTGAGCTTCGACGGAGGCCTCGAGAGAGAGGGAGGGAGGGAGAGAGAGAGGCAGGGAGAGAGGCCCGAGTCCCATACCGGTGGCACGTCAGCGCCCGGCGAAAGAGGACGCTCCCGTCACCTGCGGAGATCTGCACAACCGCAAGAGTCACAGCAACAATCACGACATCTGCCACAGCAAGAACAACCACAACAACAACAACAACCACCACAAGGATCCGTACTCTTGGTTCTTTAGGGTAACGTCACGTAGGTAAGAAAATAAAAATGAAATAAAAGATACAAATACAATTATTATTTTTTTCAAAGATTCTTTTATTGAAAATGAAATTATTTATTTTAATCTTTCATTTCATTTTTATTTTCTTTACCTAAATTTTTTTTTCTTTTTTTATACTTTATTTTCCTTACCTACGTGACGTCACCGAAAGAACCAAGAGTATCGTGTATATTGGTCGCGAAAGGATCCCCCCGTGTAGCCTGTAACAGACTGTGCTGTTAGTAGCGAGCAGCAGCAGCAGCACCTGTGAAGGCTACAACAACAAGCGCCATTCGCCACTAAGTGGCGGTGACGTCACCACGACGCTTGTGCCAGGCTATGTGCACCTTGAGGCTACCACGTGCAGTGTCGAACGCCCGCTGGCAGGAGGTCACGGGGCAGACCCAGCAGGTGCCACGGGTCGACTGAGATGACTGGCTGATTGCACCACCTGTGCCCCCCTACTGTGCCAACCTGCTGTGCTTTAGCCACCCGGCGCTCTGCTCGTTGTTGTGAGCGTCGCTCCTCCGCCCTCCGTTGTTGTTGGGCGACTGCCTCCAACTGCCCAGTAGCAGCGTCCTTCACGAGCCTCCTCCACAGAGGCCGATCTTGACCACCGCTGGTACCAGTCATCGGCAAGTCCACTCAGCTCCACGTCCTCCTGTACCACATCACTCCATCTCTTCTCTAGCCACGTGCCTCCTGTACCACATCACTCCATCTCTTCTCTAGCCCCGTGCCTCCTGTACCACATCACTCCATCTCTTCTCTAGCCACGTGCCTCCTGTACCACATCAACTCCATCTCTTCTCTAGCCACGTGCCTCCTGTACCACATCACTCCATCTCTTCTCTAGCCACGTGCCTCCTGTACCACATCACTCCATCTCTTCTCTAGCCCCGTGCCTCCTGTACCACATCACTCCATCTCTTCTCTAGCCACGTGCCTCCTGTACCACATCACTCCATCTCTTCCCTAGCCCGTGCCTCCTGTACCACATCACTCCATCTCTTCCCTAGCCCGTGCCTCCTGTACCACATCACTCCATCTCTTCTCTAGCCACGTGCCTCCTGTACCACATCACTCCATCTCTTCTCTAGCCACGTGCCTCCTGTACCACATCACTCCATCTCTTCTCTAGCCCGTACCGCGCCCGTTCAGTTTATGCTACCGGCACTGTGGCACACACAAGAGGGGGTGGGTGGCCAGCACCACCACCACGCCCGGCCGCCTTTGTCTGCCCAGGGGCGGCGTTTACTCTCACACACTCTTATTGGAGGCCGAGTCGACCTAGGCGAGACCCGGGACCGGCCCAGATAATAGCCGTCGAGTGTTGGGGGCCCGCGAGCGTGAATCGAGCCTCGGGGGTTCGTAGCGGCAGCGCTTGCCCGACCGTGCGATCCCGGTCGCTTTGCCGGCGGCCTAGCGCAGGCTTCCCCGCGGGGTAATTCAGGCAAGAGCGGTAAGCCACGGGGCTGCGGTAAGGAGGGGAGGGGGAGGGGAGGGGGAGGGTGGGCGCGCAAACAAACGCCTCGGGTTTTTTTTTACCTTATTCAGTAACGACGCCATCGTGTTGAGAACGCGCGCGCAAGGGTTGGAAGCAACTTTGAAAAGATCGTGAGGGAATTTTTATTTATTTATTTACAAACAAAACACGTGCGCCCTTGACGCTGTGGACAAACTGCTGCGTCGTGACGTCAGATCCACCTTACGTACGTCCCGGCCGTCGGTCGCGCGAGCGGGCATGACGTCATCACGCGCTCCCTTTCGTGCTGACAAGATGACGTCAAACGCCGCGAATTGCATCGCGCGCAGGACTTAAAAATCTCGCCGCTGCATCTGACGTCACGGGGCGATCTTTCAGAGGTAACGTCACGCCTGTCGAATGCAACCGCTGTGAGGTGACGTCACGCCAACCACCCACCCTCGACGTCATCTCGTCAGCACGCACGGCTGCGTTGTGACGTCACGCGAAGATCGACGTCGCGGCGTCGATCGTCATCACGCACGGCTGCGCGGTGACGTTGCGCGAACACACCCGACGCGTTTGGAGTCGCGGTGTGTCGTCATCACGCACGGCTGCGCGCTGACGTCCGCGACCCTCCCACCACCGCCCCCACCCACGTTGGCGTCTGTCGTCATCACGCACGGCTGCGCGCTGACGTCAGCGACCCTCCCACCACCGCCCCCACTCACGTTGGCGTCTGTCGTCATCACGCACGGCTGCGCGCTGACGTCCGCGACCCCCACTCCCCCCCCACACACGTTGGCGTCTGTCGTCATCACGCACGGCTGCGCGCTGACATCCGCGACCCTCCCCACTCCCCCCACACACACGCTGGCGTCTGTCGTCATCACGCACGGCTACGCGCTGACGTCACGCGACAGCTCCGTGCTCTGCTGCGGAATTAGGGCGGGTGGGTCGTGTCTACAGCGGCAGCGATAATTATTATATATTAAAAAAAAACACACAATCATAAAATTAACACCGTCGCCGCGAAGAAGAGCCATCGAACGAGCAAAAATGTCTACGAATAACGACTTCGGCAACCCTTTAAGGAAATTCAAACTGGTCTTCTTGGGCGAGCAGAGCGGTGAGTGAGTGAGTGAGGCTGAGAGAGCAATCGGCCGCACCCCGTTCATTGCAAACGGGGGGGGGGAAATTATTAATAAATCGCTAAATATATTATTATTTTAACGATTGTCGCGAACGTCAAGGTTTTATTTCGTCGTAACCGCAGCGATTTGCGATTGATGCCGACGTAATTTGTTGTTATTTTTTTGGTTTAAAAAAAAAAATTTGTTTCGTTCATTCTGAGGCGTTTTTTTGTTACTTCTGAACCGCGCCCAATGTATAAATAACGAGCATTTGTAGGCAACGCGATTGTCCCGTAATTATTTATAACTGTTATTTAAAATTGCTACCCTTTGCAATTGCTACATGTAGGGGTGTGTGTGTTTTTGCAAAGATGATCGAGTATGGATCCTAGCAGTCACGAAAGCTTTAAATCTAGAAAAGATTATTTTGTTTATAAGAGCCGCCTCACATTATTGTATTGTGCGTTCTGATACACTGTATTCTGTGATAATTATACAGTGCACTGGTGTTTTTTTTATATATATAATATTGATGCTATGCAATGTTAAATCAATGTAATACATGACGGTAATTGGCTAGCGGATTGTTGCGTGTACATTTCGTATGTAAATTTATACATTTGGTACGTGTCAATGATTACAGTATACAATTATGTACTGTAATAATTACACGGCATATAATTACTGTGCGTAATGTTAACATGTATTAACAATTATATCATACAGTAATAGGTTAATGCATGTTACGTATAAGCTATATCAATACGTGAATTATGCAAGAATTTTACACTAAGGTAGTCAATGCAGTACTAATAATTACGACGAAATTTGAATTGTATTTCACAACTTACGTTCTAAAATATATACATCGATAAAAAAATCATCGCAATGCTGTACTTACACAGCGATTCATAATTATACAGCGATTAATAATTATTACTGTAGGTGATAATGTTTGCGTTATACGAATTATATTGATTGTGCAATGATATATGTGCGTTGTGACATTATAATTACGTGTAACACGCACACGTGTGTGTATAGCCAATAAAACGCAACACGTTAGACAACAACAACAACGTAAAATAAAGACCAAAAATTAATATAGCAACGTTTCAGGCAATAGACCTCTTTCACAGCGACTTTGCCCTTCAAGGCCACGGAGAAAGATCATCATCATCATTCTAACGAAGAAAGATCATCATCAATATCCTAACGAAGAAAGGTGTCCATTCAAATCGACACTTTGCACTACCGCTGTAGGTATACGAGAGACAATATTACAATATAAAATAGTGTACGTAGTACAATATAAAATAGTGTGTGTATGCGCATTTGCATCAAGGCCATAGCCATGAAGTCAACATTCGGGGTGGGGGGAAAATCTTCCAGGGCCCCCCCCCCTCCAGAAAAAAAAATCTAAATTTGAAGACGAATTTCTGGCCTAAAATATTTTTTAAAAAATTCACTAACACGTAGGATGTATTTTTATTTATTTTTAAATAATAATAATGTCTAATAGTGTTATTGTATTTACATTGCTCTGGTTTTACTTTTTTTTACTTTTTTCTTGTTTCATTGTATGTAATGGCAGAGGTTAGGGATTTATAAAGTACAACCATAACTACAATCATATAAACAGAAATCTATTTTATAGCAATATATTGGGGCGGGACATTTTGTGCATACCCAATATATTATAACTAGCTGTACTACCCGGCTTCGACCGGGACTTGGGTTAGGAATAGGGTTAGGGTGTGTGTTTATGGGTTAGGAACATGATTTAGGATTGGGGTTAGGGAGTGTGTTTATGGGTTAGGGACAGGGTTTAGGATTGGGGTTAGGGAGTGTGTTTATGGGTTAGGGACAGGATTTAGGATTGGATTTAGGGTGTGTGTTTATGGTTTAGGGACAGGGTTTAGGATTGGGGTTAGGGTGTGGGTTTATGGGTTAGGAACAGGATTTAGGGTGTGTGTTTATGGGTTAGGGACAAGATTTAGGATCGGGGTTAGGGTGTGTGTTTATGGGTTAGGAACAGGATTTAGGGTTGGGGTTAGCGTGTGGGTTTATGGGTTAGGAACAGGATTTAGGGTTGGGTTTAGGGTGTGTGTTTATGGGTTAGGGACAGGGTTTAGGATTGGGGTTAGGGTGTGTGTTTATGGGTTAGGAACAGGATTTAGGATTGGGGTTAGGGAGTGTGTTTATGGGTTAGGGACAGGGTTTAGGATCGGGGTTAGGGTGTGTGTTTATGGGTTAGGAACATGATTTAGGATTGGGGTTAGGGAGTGTGTTTATGGGTTAGGGACAGGGTTTAGGATTGGGGTTAGGGAGTGTGTTTATTGGTTAGGGACAGGATTTAGGATTGGATTTAGGGTGTGTGTTTATGGTTTAGGGACAGGGTTTAGGATTGGGTTTAGGGTGTGGGTTTATGGGTTAGGAACAGGATTTAGGATGTGTGTTTATGGGTTAGGGACAAGATTTAGGATCGGGGTTAGGGTGTGTGTTTATGGGTTAGGAACAGGATTTAGGGTTGGGTTTAGGGTGTGTGTTTATGGGTTAGGGACAGGGTTTAGGATTGGGGTTAGGGTGTGTGTTTATGGGTTAGGAACAGGATTTAGGGTTGGGGTTAGCGTGGGGGTTTATGGGTTAGGAACAGGATTTAGGGTTGGGTTTAGGGTGTGTGTTTATGGGTTAGGGACAGGGTTTAGGATTGGGGTTAGAGTGTGTGTTTATGGGTTAGGGACAGGGTTTAGGATTGGGGTTAGGGTGTGTGTTTATGGGTTAGGAACAGGATTTAGGATCGGGGTTAGGTTGTGTGTTTATGGGTTAGGAACAGGATTTAGGGTTGGGTTTAGGGTGTGTGTTTATGGGTTAGGGACAGGGTTTAGGATTGGGGTTAGCGTGTGGGTTTATGGGTTAGGAACAGGATTTAGGGTTGGGTTTAGGGTGTGTGTTTATGGGTTAGGGACATGGTTTAGGATTGGGGTTAGGGTCTGTGTTTATGGGTTAGGATCAGGATTTAGGGTTGGGTTAGGGTTTGTGTTTATGGGTTAGGGACAGGATTTAGGATTGGGTTTAGGGTGTGTGTTTATGGGTAAGGAACAGGATTTAGGATTGGGTTGAGGGTGTGTGTTTATGGGTTAGGAACAGGATTTAGGATCGGGGGTTAGGGTGTGTGTTTATGGGTAAGGAACAGGATTTAGGATTGGGTTTAGGGTGTGTGTTTATGGGTTAGGAACAGGATTTAGGATCGGGGGTTAGGGTGTGTGTTTATTTATGGCTTAGGAACAGGATTTAGGATTGGGGTTAGGGTTGTGTGTTTATCGGTTAGGGATCAGATTAGGGGTGATGGTAACCCCACAAACCCCCCTGCATTATGGACGATATTGGTCGCGAAAGCCTACGTGTTTAAACTGACATGATAGTGCATGTCGCACGCACATATATTTTGCATTATTCCCACCCCGTGATTGCAACGTGAAAGCACGCTGTGCGGTAGACCGTGGCGTGCACACTTGAATTCGTGCACACCCCCACAGTATAACGTCCAAACACCACCACCACTGCCTCAATGGCATAAGCCAAACGAGTCGTCACCGAGAGAGGCCTCCTTTGCAGTTGTGTCATTGTTTCCGCGGGTCAGCGATGCCGCGTGCATCCGAGTGCGACAATCCCCCGCGGGGATTATGGTAGGGTTCGGAGTCGGGGTTGTGGAAAGTTTTATGTTTTTTGGGGGGCGATTAGCCATTGGTTAGGGGGAGTCATGAATGGGGTTTGGGGGTTATGGGTTATGTTTAGGCGTTTGAGCTAGGGGTTAGGGTGCATGTGTATGGGTTAGGGGGTAGGAAGAGGATTTAGGGTTAGGGTGTATGGGTTAGGGGGTAGGAAGAGGATTTAGGATTGGGGTTAGGGTGTGTGTGTTATGGGTTAGGGACAGGATTGGGGTTAGGGTGTCTGTTTATGGGTTAGGAAGAGGATTTAGGATTGCAGTTGGGGTGTGTGTTTTTGGGTTAGGAACAGGATTTAGGATTGGGGTTAGGGTGTGTGTTTATGGGTTAGGAACAGAATTTAGGATTGGGGTTAGGGTGTGTGTTTATGGGTTAGGAACAGGATTTAGGATTGTGGTTAGGGTGTGTGTTTATGGGTTAGGAACAGGATTAGGATTGAGGTTAGGGTGTGTGTTTATGGGTTAGGAACAGGATTTAGGATTGGGGTTAGGGTGTGTGTTTATGGGTTAGGAACAGGATTTAGGATTGGGGTTAGGGTGTGTGTTTATGGGTTAGGAACAGGATTTATGATTGTGGTTAGGGTGTGTGTTTATGGGTTAGGAACAGGATTTAGGATTGTGGTTAGGGTGTGTGTTTATGGGTTAGGAACAGGATTTAGGATTGGGGTTAGCGTGTGTGTTTATGGGTTAGGAACAGGATTAGGATTGGGGTTAGGGTGTGTGTTTATGGGTTAGGAACATGATTTAGGATTGGGGTTAGGGTGTGTTTATGGGTTAGGAACAGGATTTAGGATTGGGGTTAGTGCGTGTGTTTATGGGTTAGGAATATGATTTAGGATTGGGGTTAGTGCGTGTGTTTTTGGGTTAGGAACAGGATTTAGGATTGGGGTTAGGGCGTGTGTTTGTGGGTTAGGAACAGGATTTAGGATTGGGGTTAGGGTGTGTGTTTGTGGGTTAGGAACAGGATTGTGGTTAGGGTGTGTGTTTATGGGTTAGAAACAGGATTTAGGATTGGGGTTAGGGTGTGTGTTTATGGGTTAGGAACAGGATTTAGGATTGGGGTTAGGGTGTGTGTTTATGGGTTAGGAACAGGATTTAGGATTGGGGTTAGTGCGTGTGTTTATGGGTTAGGAACAGGATTTAGGATTGTGGTTAGGGTGTGTGTTTATGGGTTAGGAACAGGATTTAGGATTGTGGTTAGGGTGTGTGTTTATGGGTTAGGAACAGGATTTAGGATTGGGGTTAGGGTGTGTGTTTATATGTTCAGGCTAGGGGCTAGGATTAGGGGTTCAGGGTTCCACTTCGTAGATAGTATTATGGGTTAGGGTTATACACAAATGACTCAGCTCCTTAGCCCTTCTAGAACATCATGAGAATCAACATCTGTCCTGTCACTCAGCTGTGAGCCTTCTAGAACATAATTAGAATCAACATCAGTCACTCCGCTGTCTGGGCCTTCTAGAATATGGTAAACCGGGAGCTCACGGCAGTCATTTGGCAGGGCAGAGTCTTCTAGAACATCATTAGAATATCAGTCGCTCAGCTGTCTGGCCCTTCTAGAACATCATGACACTCAACATCAGTCACTCAGTTGTCTGGCCCTTCTAGAACATCATTAGAATATCAGTCGCTCAGCTGTCTGGCCCTTCTACAACAACATTAGAATCAACATCAGTCACTCAGCTGTCTGGCCCTTCTAGAACATCATGACACTCAACATCAGTCACTCAGCTGTCTGAGCCTTCTAGAACATAATTAGAATATCAGTCACTCAGCTGTCTGGCCCTTCTAGAACATAATTAGAATCAACATCAGTCACTCAGCTGTCTGGCCCTTCTAGAACATCATGACACTCAACATCAGTCACTCAGCTGTCTGAGCCTTCTAGAACATAATTAGAATATCAGTCGCTCAGCTGTCTGGCCCTTCTAGAACATAATTAGAATATCAGTTACTCAGCTGGCTGGCCCTTCTGGAACAGCATTAGAATCAACATCAGTCACTCAGCTGTATGGCCCTTCTAGAACATCATGACACTCAACGTTAGTCACTCAGCTGTCTGAGCCTTCTAGAACATAATTAGAATCAACATCAGTCACTCTGCTGTCTGGGCCTTCTAGAACATAATTAGAATCAACATCAGTCACTCAGCTGTATGGCCCTTCTAGAACATCATGACACTCAACGTCAGTCACTCAGCTGTCTGATCCTTCTAGAACATAATTAGAATCAACATCAGTCACTCAGCTGTCTGGGCCTTCTAGAACATTATTAGAATCAACATCGGTGACTCAGCTGTCTGGCCCTTCTAGAACATCATTAGAATCAACATCAGTCACTCAGCTGTCTGGGCCTTCTAGAACATAATTAGAATATCAGTTACTCAGCTGTCTGGCCCTTGTAGAACAACATTAGAATCAACATCAGTCACTCAGCTGTCTGGCCTTTCTAGAACATCATGACACTCAACGTCAGTCACTCAGCTGTCTGGGCCTTCTAGAACATCATTAGAATATCAGTCGCTCAGCTGTCTGGCCCTTTTAGAACATCATTAGAATATCATTCACTCAGCTGTCTGGGCCTTCTAGAACATAATTAGAATATCAGTCACTCAGCTGTCTGGCCCCTCTAGAACATCATGACACTCAATATCAGTCACTCAGCTGTCTGGCCCTTCTAGAACATAATTAGAATCAACATCAGTCACTCAGCTGTCTGGGCCTTCTAGAACAGCATTAGAATCAACATCAGTCACTCCGCTGTCTGGGTCTTCTAGAACAGCATTAGAATCAACATCAGTCACTCAGCTGTCTGGGCTGCTAGAACATCATGACACTCAACATCAGTCACTCAGCTGTCTGGCCCTTCTAGAACAACATTAGAATCAACATCAGTCACTCAGCTGTCTGAGCCTTCTAGAACATAATTAGAATATCAGTCACTCAGCTGTCTGGCCCTTCTAGAACATCATTAGAATCAACATCAGTCACTCCGCTGTCTGGGCCTTCTAGAATATCGTAAAACAGGAGCTCACGGCAGTCATTTGCCAGGGCAGAATGTGGTGGGGTTAAGTTTTTAGAATTCCCACATCTTCAGAGGTGAGTATTTCCATTATTCGGCTGACATAAATGTCGACATGGTGATGAGCCACTTTCGTTGGAGCTATCATTTTTGGTCAGGTCACCTTCTGAAAAACAAGCGAATAGCTTAATTGTGCTTTGCAAGTTAACATAAAAATAGTCGCATTACATTTCGTTTGTGATTTGTTCCACCTTTCTTGCACTCCGATCGTGTTTCCGTATCGTTGTAAATGTCTGACCCCGTGCCCCCCCTAACTGGGCATCTGTGAAAGAGAGCTCTTTTTTAAAAGCGCATCGGATTCCTCCTCCAGTCTCAATAAAAATTGTGATTCTGCCTGGGCCAGTGTGGAAGAAGAGGCCAACAGATGCCCCCTTCGCGAGGAGCCGTCCAGCGTGGGGGCGTGGGGGTGTTGGGGGCAAGTGCAAACGAACTAAACGCACAATTAGTTTAAAAAAAAAAACATTTTTTAGCTTTCGGTCGAAATTAAAAAGTGGCATCACAGCTTCCCAGTGGCTTCCTAATATCGGAAGGAAGAGAGCGTTCCGGACGGCTGCAGCAGCGGCGCGGCTGGCAACGGTGCGGTGTGTCCGCCGCCCTTGTTCGACGGTCGGCCAAAGGCCGCTGGAAGTTGCAGGGCTGCTGCACCTTTACATCACCCGGCTCTCTCTCAGATCCCTGGAGAAGCATCGACGTTCACGCTTCGTACGATGTGCGTGTGCGGAGTGCGTCCGTAAGAATACAAATAATGATAATAATAATGGAAAAGTATCCGTAATTTGTCGATCGCGCGAACGGGAAATTCCTTCCTCCGGAGGGCCGCGCGTGAATTATATTGCCCGTGAGCTCCGCACTACGACGGCACTTGCCTTGTGTTAATATTTAATTTCGTTGCACTGCATCCTTTGCCGTAGACATTGGGGGGCTGAAGTTGACGGCAGTCCAGGGCAGGGCTCCCAGGGGGTCGAGCTGCATTAAGCCATAAACCGGTCTGTGTGTGTGCGCGCGTGCGCGTGCCTTGGTGCAATTCCGTGTTTGTGTGTGTGTTTTTTTTGTCTTGGTGTGGGGGAACGGTGGTGTAACGGTTAGCGGCACTGCGCTACGAACCCGGCGACCCGAGTTCGATTCCCGCTCACGGCCACCAGCCACCGGTGGCGATTTTCTGAACCGATTCTGGGCCTCCCCTAGGTCGACTCGGCCTCAAATGAGTACCTGGTGCGGTGTGCAGTAAACAATCAGCACTGTGTGGTGCTGGCCACCCACCCCCTTGTGTGCCGTGTCGGCCTTCGTAGGCGTGTTCGCTAACAGCACTTGCCACCAACAGTCAGTTAAGGCGACACGGGGGATCTTTGTCACTGATTGTAACTGCGTGTATGTGTTGTACAGCATGTTGAACTTCTTTCGCGCCGTACGTAGCCAACCGTGATGATCGGAGGTGCGCGGGGGAAGGACAACAAGCTTTACGCAACAACAAGCGGTTCTAAATAAATTCGTTTTCAATCTAGATTTAAAAGTGCATAGCTCCAGTGGCTTGTTGATATCGGAAGGAAGAGCGTTCCAGACGGCCGCAGAAGCGCATCCGAAAGCGCCACGCGATGATGCGGTGACCACCGCCTTTGTTCGACGGTTAGCCAAAAGCCGCCGCCGCTGCTGCTGCGAGGATGATCGGAGTTTGCGTGATGGTGGCTGATGAGATCGGCACGGCATTGTGGTGGTTCGTCATTCACGCGTGCGTGTGTGTGTGTGTTTCTGAATTGCAGTTGGCAAGACTTCCCTGATCACACGGTTCATGTATGACAGCTTTGACAACACCTACCAGGTGAGCGACAGGCGAGACCACGAAAGTGAGGCCCTACACGCGCGCACACACGCACAGACAACGCGCACCGGCTTGTGTGGGTAAAGCTGAAGCCTCGCCTCTCCTCCATTACCCATTCTCTTCCGCTTCTGCCCTAAACTCCTCTGCTGGAATGGCTCCCCCTGTACATTAAGCAGCACTGCTCCACAGACGCAGCACTGCACCACAGACTCGGCACTGCACCACAGACTCGGCACTGCACCACAGACTCGGCACTGCACCACAGACTCGGCACTGCACCACAGACTCGGCACTGCACCACAGACTCAGCAATGCACCACAGACTCAGCAAAGCACCACAGACTCAGCACTGCACCACAGACTCGGCACTGCACCACAGACTCAGCACTGCATCACAGACTCAGCACTGCACCACAGACTCAACAATGCACCACAGACTCAGTACTACACCACAGACTCAACAATGCACCACAGACTCAGCACTGCACCACAGACTCAACAATGCACCACAGACTCGGCACTACACCATCGACTCAGCACTGCAACATAGATTCAACATTGCTCATAGATTTAAGACTGCGCATAGAATCAACACTGCCCATGGACTCAACACTGCCCATGGACTCAACACTGCCCATAGACTCAACACTGCACCATAGACTCAACACTGCACCATAGACTCAACACTGCACCATCGACTCAACACTGCACCATAGACTCAACACTGCACCATCGACTCAACACTGCACCATAGACTCAACACTGCACCATAGACTCAACACTGCCCCATAGACTCAACACTGCACCATCGACTCAACACTGCACCATAGACTCAACACTGCACCATAGACTCAACACTGCACCATAGACTCAACACTGCACCATAGACTCAACACTACCCATAGACTCAACACTACCCATAGACTCAACACTGCACCATAGACTCAACACTGCACCATAGACTCAACACTACCCATCGACTCAACACTGCACCATAGACTCAACACTGCCCATAGACTCAACACTGCACCATCGACTCAGCACTGCACCACAGACTCAGCACTGCATCACAGACTCGGCACTGCACCACAGACTCAGCAAAGCACCACAGACTCAGCACTGCATCACAGACTCAGCACTGCACCACAGACTCAACAATGCACCACAGACTCGGCACTACACTATCGACTCAGCACTGCAACATAGATTCAACATTGCTCATAGATTTAAGACTGCGCATAGAATCAACACTGCCCATGGACTCAACACTGCCCATGGACTCAACACTGCCCATAGACTCAACACTGCACCGTAGACTCAACACTGCACCATCGACTCAACACTGCACCATAGACTCAACACTGCACCATAGACTCAACACTGCACCATCGACTCAACACTGCACCATAGACTCAACACTGCACCATAGACTCAACACTGCACCATAGACTCAACACTACCCATCGACTCAACACTGCACCATCGACTCAACACTGCACCATAGACTCAACACTGCCCATAGACTCAACACTGCACCATCGACTCAACACTGCACCGTAGACTCAGCACTGCACCACAGACTCAACACTGCACCATCGATTCAACACTGCACCGTAGACTCAACAATGCACCATAGACTCAACACTGCACCATCGACTCAACACTGCACTACAGACTCGGCACTGCACCACAGACTCAGCACTGCAAGATAGATTCAACACTGCTCAAAGATTTAAGACTGCGCATAGAATCAACGCTGCCCATGGACTCAACACTGCCCATAGACTGAACACTGCACCATAGACTCAACACTGCACCATAGACTCAACACTGTCCATAGACTCAACACTGCACCATAGACTCAACACTGAACCATGGATTCAACACTGCACCGTAGACTCAACACTGCACCATAGACTCAACACTGCACCATAGACTCAGCACTGCACCATAGACTCAACACTGCACCATCGACTCAACACTGCACCATCGACTCAACACTGCACCATCGACTCAACACTGCACCATAGACTCAACACTACACCATCGACTCAACACTGCACCATCGACTCAACACTGCACCATAGCCTCAACACTGCACCATAGACTCAACACTGCACCATAGACTCAACACTGCACCATCGACTCAACACTACACCATCGACTCAACACTGCACCATAGACTCAACACTGCACCATCGACTCAACACTGCAGCACAGACTCAGCACTGCACCACAGACTCAGCACTGCCCCTGTACATTAAGCAGTCTCCCTCTTCCCTCCCCTTGCCCCTCCATTCCTTCCCATCCCTCCCCTGTAACCCCCTTCCGTGACCCCCTAAGTACCCCCTCTATCGAGCACACTCAATACCTTGTAGCGCGCCGGCCGGCCGGCCATCTGCATCTTTCTTCTCCATTTGAAGCCGCCTTCAGTGCAAGGCGCTCCCCAAATCAACATAAAACTCGCTTGGATGAGGGTAACGCATTGCCACACGCGCTTGGACCTGCAGAGTGCGGGCGTGTTCTCTTGTCGTGTGGCTGTGGTGGCTGCGTTCCTGAAGAACACGCCGCGTTATGGGAAAATCTCATGCGCAGAATCCTAGTGTAGTGTTAATCGTGTAGTGAATAGTAGTGGAGAGTGTAGTTGTATAGTAGTGGAGAGTGTATTGTAGTGTACAGTGTAGAGTGTATAGTAGTGTAGTGAATAGTAGTGGAGAGTGTATGGTAGTGTAGAGTGTAGTGTATTATAGTGTACAGTGTAGAGTATATAGTAGTGTAGAGTGTATAGTAGTATAGAGTGTATAGTAGTGTAGAGTGTAGTGTATTGTACTGTAGATTGTATGGTCGTGTAGTGTATAGTAGTGTAGAGTGTAGTGTATGGTAGTGGAGTGTAGTGTAGTGTATTATAGTGTAGAGTGTATGGTAGAGTAGAGTGTATGGTAGTGTAGAGTGTATGGTAGTGTAGATTGTATTGTAGTGTAGAGTTGTATGGTAGTGTAGAGTGTATGGTAGTGTAGTGTATGGTAGTGGAGTATATGGTAGTGTAGAGTGTAGTGTATGGTAGTGTAGGGTGTATTGTAGTGTAGAGTGTATGGTAGTGTAGAGTGCATGGTAGTGTAGAGTGTATGGTAGTGTAAAGTGTAGTGTATGGTAGTGTAGTGTGTATGGTATTGTAGAGTGTATGGTATTGTAGAGTGTATGGTAGTGTAGAGTCTATGGTAGTGTAGTGTGTATGGTATTGTAGAGTGTATGGTAGTGTAGAGTGTATGGTAGTGTAGAGTGTATGGTAGTGTAGAGTGTATGGTAGTGTAGAGTGTATGGTAGTGTAGAGTGTATGGTAGTGTATTGTAGTGTAGAATGTATGGTAGTGTAGAGTGTATGGTAGTGTACAGTGTATGGTAGTGTAGAGTGTATGGTAGTGTAAAGTGTAGTGTATGGTAATGTAGAGTGTATTGTAGTGTAGAGTGTATGGTAGTGTAAAGTGTATTGTAGTGTAGAGTGTATGGTAGTGTAGAGTGTATGGTAGTGTAGAGTGTATGGTAGTGTAGAGTGTATGGTAGTGTAGAGTGTATTGTAGTGTAGAGTGTATGGTAGTGTAGAGTGAATGGTAGTGTAGAGTGTATGGTAGTGTAGAGTGTATGGTAGTGTAGAGTGTATGGTAGTGTAGAGTGTATGGTAGTGTAGAGTGTATGGTAGTGTAGAGTGTATGGTAGTGTAGAGTGTATGGTAGTGTAGAGTGTAGTGTATGGTAGTGTAGAGTGTATGGTAGTGTAGAGTGTATGGTAGTGTAGAGTGTATGGTAGTGTAGAGTGTATTGTAGTGTAGAGTGTATGGTAGTGTAGAGTGTATTGTAGTGTAGAGTGTATGGTAGTGTAGAGTGTATGGTAGTGTAGAGTGTATGGTAGTGTAAAGTGTAGTGTATGGTAGTGTAGAGTGTATGGTAGTGTAGAGTGTATGGTAGTGTAGAGTGTATTGTAGTGTAGAGTGTATGGTAGTGAAGAGTGTAGCGTATAGATTTTTTTGAGTTAGATCGCATAAATATACACGTGTCGTTAAACTCACCGACACATTTATATTTACGCGGTCTAACCCCAAAAACAACCTGAATTATGGATGATATTGATTTCGAAAGCCTACGTGTTAAACTACTTCAGGAATATTTGTTAAAACTTACGTTAAGTTAACAAGTAAACGTCTGAAAAAAGAAGAATAGGTTTTATCCCTTTCTTGATGTTCAAACGCCGAATAGAGACCTTTAGCAAGGAATCAAGTTCGCAATCAACCACACCCGGTGCTCATGGTGAACATGCAAGCAAACTTTGCTCCGATGATAATAATAATAATAAGAGATGGGCGTTGTCTTTCAAACGGATTGGTCTACACCAGAGACGTCAGCCTTCTTTAGGGCCCAGTCTCATCACCACGGGGTCAATTTTCGTTTATTCTCGTGGCCAACTTTGGCGTTTTAACGGTACGTAACGGGCACCCGGGAACGGAACCCCCCGCCCCCCAACGTACAACGTTCGCGACCTATGGGTAAGCGAGGGGGTTTGACTCAGTGGCGGCTGCCCTTGCGACCGTCATCCGTGAGTAGCAGCTGTCAGGCAAAAGGTGCCTTTTGCATGTTTGTGAACACTTGTTGTCCTGTTAGCTCGGGCGAGATAACCTATTTTTATTGGTCTAAACAATATTCTATTTTGGCTGCTAGAGTCCCGCTGAGCTCTGTAGTAGTAGTTTTTTTTTTTTTTCCCCCCCGAAAGCAACCTGGCCACAAGTGACAGCTCAACGAAGTGGCTATCCGTCATCATCGTCGCGTGGAAATTTACAAGGTCAAGATCGACCAGATACTCTTACACGCTTGGTGAAGTTGGTTCTAAATGTGGAGGGGAAAAAACCGGAGGGCCCGGAGAAAACTCCACGTCACCACGGGGAAGGAGAAGAGGCGCATGGAAGCTCCAAATATACAGCAGAGACAGCAGGCGTCGGGATCGAACCCACGACCTCTTGCACACCAGGCGAGGTAGTCAACATCTCCTAGCCACCGTGATGATGAGAGAGAGACACGCAAACTCCAAATATACAGCAGCAGCAGGCGTCGCCAAGTTCGGGATTGAACCCACGACCTCCTGCACACCAGGCGAGGTAGTCAACATCTCCTAGCCACCGTGATGATGAGAGAGAGACTAGCAAACTCCAAATATACAGCAGCAGCAGGCGTCGTCAAGTTCGGGATCGAACCCACGACCTCCTGCGTACCAGGCGAGGTAGTTAACATCTCCTAGCCACCGTGATGATGAGAGATTTACATTATGATACCTCCTTTGCCAGTAACAAGATATAGGAATAGGTTTTACCTTTTTAACTGGCACAAAAACTGACACCTTTATTCAAGGCATCATGCTTGCAATAACCACAACACAAGCAGTCAAAATGCAAACAAAAAAGACAACTCTGATAATAATATGCACTGTCCTTGAATTTGATTGGTCCACACCCGAGACGGCTTTTCTTAGAGCCCTTAGTCTCCATTGGTGTTGGACCAGAAGACGCCAAAAGGCGTACAACTCAAAAACAGCGCACTATCAGAGTAATGAGGGCTCGGGGTGAGCATTTACATTATGAGACCTCCTTTGCCAGTAACAAGATATAGGAATAGGTTTTACCCTTTTAACTGGCACAAAAGCTGACACCTTTATTCAAGGCATCATGTTTGCAATAACCACAACACAAGCAGTCAAAATGCAAACAAAATAGACAACTCTGATAATAATATGCACATTTTGACTGCTTGTGTTGTGGTTATTGCAAACATGATGCCTTGAATAAAGGTGTCAGTTTTTGTGCCAGTTAAAAGGGTAAAACCTATTCCTAGATAATGAGAGAGACGCATACTCCAAATATACAGCAGCAGTAGGCATCGTCAGGGTCAGGATCGCACCCACGACCTCCTGCGTACCAGGCGAGGTAGTCAACATCTCGCCACTGTGTTGCACCTATGGTAGTCGTGGCTGGGAATTCACACACGCACACTTGCAAATATCTTTGTACGCAAAGATCCCACTACATAGCGATCTAAGATGTTGCGACAAGTACTGGGAGAGTCGCAATCTTTATTTAGACTGGAGGGTGGAATCCGATGAGCTTTGAAGCTCTTTGTCACAGATGTTCAGCCGGGGCAGGTCGCCACGTTGCACCAACACACACAAACACACAAGACAAAGATCCCCATGTAGACTACACGGGCTGTTGGGCCAAGGGCTGTTGGCGAGAAAGTGCCTCGTCAAGGCCGGCACGGCGAACGAGGGGGTGGGTGGCCAGCACCACGCCCGGCCGCCTTTGTCTCCCCAGTGGTGATGCTCACCACGCACCGCACCAGGTACTCATTTGAGGCTGAGTCGACCTAGGGGGGGGGGGAGGCTCAGGACCGGTTCAGGTAACCGTCACCGGTGTTGGCCGTGAGCGGGAATCGAACTCGAGTCGCCGGGTTCGTAGCGCTAACCGCTGCACCACCGCTCCCCACATTGTACACGCACGCGCTTTCATACACGCACGCACCTTCATACACACACACACAAATCATACGCACATACACACTCGAAGAAACATGCATTGCGCATACACGCACTGTCATACACACACTATCAGAAACATGCATTGTAGCCACACGCACTGTCAATCACACATACGCACTATCATACACACACACACGACAAGAAACACGCCTTACACGGGCACGGCACGGTCGCAGTAACGATTCGCTCCCCCCCCCTCGCCCCCCCCTCTCTCACCCCTCTCTCCCCCCCCTCTCTCCCCACTCTCTCCTCCCTCGCTCCCCCACTCTCTCCCCCACTCTCTCCCTCCCTCTCTCCCCCCTCTCTCCCCACTCTCTCCCCCACTCTCTCCCCCCTCTCTCCCCACTCTCTCTCCCCCCCCTCTCTCCCCCCCTCTCTCCCCCTCTCTCCTCCCTCTCTCCCCCTCTCTCTCCCCACTCTCTCCCCCCTCTCTCCTCCCTCCCCCCCTCCCTCCCCACTCTCTCCTCCCTCTCTCCCCCCCTCCCTCCCCACTCTCTCCCCCCCCCCTCCCTCCCCACTCACTCCCCCCTCTCTCCCCCCCTCTCTCCCCCCTCTCTCCCCCCTCTCTCCTCCCTCTCTCCCCCCCTCCCTCCCCCCTCTCTCCCCCCTCTCTCCCCCTCTCTCCCCCCCTCCCTCCCCACTCTCCCCCCCTCTCTCCCCCCCTCTCTCCCCCCCTCTCTCCCCCACTCTCTCCCCCACTCTCTCCCCACTCTCTCCTTCCTCCCTCCCCACTCTCTCCCCCCTCTCTCCCCCCCTCTCTCCCCCCTCTCTCCTCCCTCTCTCCCTCCCTCCCCACTCTCTCCCCACTCTCTCCCCCCTCTCTCCCCCCTCTCTCCCTCCCTCCCCACTCCCTCCCCACTCACTCCCCACTCTCTCCCCCCTCTCTCCCCCCCTCTCTCCCCCCTCTTTCCCCGCCCCTCTCTCCTCCCTCTCTCCCCCCTCTCTCCTCCCTCTCTCCCCCACTCTCTCCCCCCTCTCTCCCCCCCCTCTCTCCCCACTCTCTCCCCCCTCTCTCCTCCCTCTCTCCCCCCCTCTCTCCCCCCTCTCTCCCCCACTCTCTCCCCCCCTCTCTCCCTCCCTCCCCACTCTCTCCCCCCTCTCTCCCCCCTCTCTCCCCCCCTCTCTCCCCCCCTCTCTCCCCCCTCTCTCCCCCCTCTCTCCTCCCTCTCTCCCCACTCTCTCCCCCACTCTCTCCCCCACTCTCTCCCCCCTCTCTCCCCTCTCTCTCCCCCCTCTCTCCCCCCTCTCTCCCCCCTCTCTCCCCCACTCTCTCCCCCACTCTCTCCCCCCTCTCTCCCCCCCTCTCTCTCCCACCGCACCCAGGCGACGATCGGCATCGACTTCCTGTCGAAAACCATGTACCTGGAGGATCGAACGGTGAGTCCCCGCCCCTCTGTCCTCTTCCTAGGTGCGGGAGGAGGAGGTCACGGGACAGACCCAGCAGGGTGCTCTATGGGGTTGACTGCTGTGCCAGGCTAGGTGCAGGAGGAGGTCACGGGACAGACCCAGCAGGTGCCATGGGTTGACCGCTGTGCCAGGCTAGGTGCAGGAGGAGGTCACGGGACTGACCCAGCAGGTGCCGTGGGTTGACTGCTGTGCCAGGCTAGGTGCAGGAGGAGGTCACGGGACAGACCCAGCAGGTGCCATGTGTTGACCGCTGTGCCAGGCTAGGTGCAGGAGGAGGTCACGGGACAGACCCAGCAGGGTGCTCTATGGGGTTGACTGCTGTGCCAGGCTAGGTGCAGGAGGAGGTCACGGGACTGACCCAGCAGGTGCCGTGGGTTGACTGCTGTACCAGGCTAGGTGCAGGAGGAGGTCACGGGACTGACCCAGCAAGTGCCGTGGGTTGACTGCTGTGCCAGGCTAGGTGCAGGGGGAGGAGGTCACGGGACTGACCCAGCAAGTGCCGTGGGTTGACTGCTGTGCCAGGCTAGGTGCAGGAGGAGGAGGTCACGGGACAGACCCAGCAGGTGCCGTGGGTTGACCGCTGTGCCACGCCCGGTGGCGATGGTTCACACCACGCCCGGTGGCGATGGTTCACACGTCGGCCCCCGTGGCGCTGGTTTACGGCCGAGTCATCCTAGGGGGCGGCCCAGGACCAGTTGGGACGATCGTCACCGTGTGCACGCCTTCGGCTGCGCCAGACGCAGCCAGCGCTCGCCGCGAGAAGTCTTGCCGAGGCAACGTGGGGGGGGGGTATCTTTGTCTTTGTGTGCAGGTCCGCCTTCAGCTGTGGGACACAGCCGGCCAGGAGCGATTCCGAAGCCTCATCCCCAGCTACATCCGCGACTCCACCGTGGCCGTGGTTGTCTACGACATCACTAGTGAGACGCGCACAACAGCAAAAACAACAACAACAACAGCCGCCACGGCGCTCGTGCCAGGCTGGGTTCACTTCGAGGCCGTCGCGTGTAATGTGGACGGCTCGCTGCGGCAGGAGGAGGAGGAGGAGGAAAAGGTCACGGGACAGACCCAGCAGGGGCCGTGGGTTGACTGCTGTGCCAGGCTAGGTGCAGGAGGAGGTCACGGGACAGACCCAGCAGGGGCCGTGGGTTGACTGCTGTGCCAGGCTAGGTGCAGGAGGTGGTCACGGGACAGGCCCAGGTGCCTTGGGTTGAATGTTGTGCCAGGCTAGGTGCAGGAGGAGGTCACTGGACAGACCCAGTAGGTGCTTTGGGTTGACTGCTGTGCCAGGCTAGGTGCAGGAGGTGGTCACGGGACAGACCCAGCAGGGGCCGTGGGTTGACTGCTGTGCCAGGCTAGGTGCAGGAGGTGGTCACGGGACAGGCCCAGGTGCCTTGGGTTGAATGTTGTGTCAGGCTGGGTGCAGGAGGTGGTCACGGGATAGACCCAGGTGCCTTGGGTTGCATTTTGTGCCAGGCTAGGTGCAGGAGGAGGTCACTGGACAGACCCAGCAGGTGCTTTGGGTTGACTGCTGTGCCAGGCTAGGTGCAGGAGGTGGTCACGGGACAGACCCAACAGGTGCCAAGGGCTGACTGCAGTGCCGGGCTAGGTGCAGGAGGTGGTCACGGGACAGGGCCAGGTGCCATGGGTTGACCGACTGAGATGACTGGCAGATGCACCACCCGTGCTCCCAACTGTGCCAACACGCTGCGCTTTAGCAGTCCGGCGCTCCGCTCGTTGTTGTGAGCGTCGCTCCTCTGCCCCACGCTGTTGATGGAGGGCGACTGCCTCCAACTGCCCAGTAGCGCGCGCACAAAGACAAAGATTCCCCCTGTAGCCTTAACAGGCTGTTGGGGCAAGTGCTATTAGCGAGACATATGAAGGGCGGTACGGCACACCCAGGGGGGGTAAGGTGGTCAGAAGCACGCCCGGCCGCCTTTGTCTCCCCAGTGGCTATGTTTACACACGGCATTTTGTACTCGTTTGAGGCCGAGTAGACTTATGGGAGGCCCAGGACCGGTCCGGAGTGGGAATCGAACTCGGGTCGTCGGGTTCATAGCGGTGTGCGCTCGCCACCCGTGCCACCGCCCCACCTACGAAGGGCTCACTGGGCGGTGCTGCGTGGCCACCTTTGTCTCCCCGGCGCCGGCGTGCTCGCTGGTGGTGAGGTCCAAGGCCGTCATCATAATATACATATTGGTATAGAATGCTGCGTAAATTAAAAACAACACTTGGCTAAACCTTGGCCACAATATCTGGACCTGTCTTCGTGTAAATCAACGCGTAGATTTCTGTTTGTGCGATTGCGGTGATGGTTGCTGCTTCATTAATCCCCAATCTCTGCCATTACATGCAATGAAACAAGGAAAGGTACAAAAAAAAAAGTAAAAACAGAGCAATGTAAATACAATAACACTACTAGACATTATTGTTTAAAATAAAAAATCAATAAAAAGTCCGCCCCACTTGTTAGTGAAATTTTTTTTTAATATTTTAGGCAGGTCAACGAGTTTTCAAATGTAGATATTTTTTCTGGGTTGGGACCCCCCCCAGACACCCTGGAAGATTTGGTCCCCGCCCCCCAATGTTGACTCTACGACCTTGGCGAGGTCGCGAGGTCGCGGTGCGGTAAACTGACGCGTTGGTTGCGTGCAGACGTCAACTCATTCCAGCAGACGTCCAAGTGGATCGACGACGTGAGGACGGAGCGGGGAGGAGATGTCATCATCATGCTGGTCGGCAACAAGACTGACCTCGTCGATAAGAGGTGTGGGGGCCGCCTGGACGAGGCGGGACGGGACGCGCGGGACGGGACATACCGCACGGGACACGCGGGACGTACAGGACACACGGGACATACGGGACGTACAGGACACACGGGACGGGACACACGGGATGGGACACGCGGGATGGGACACGCGGGACGGGACGTATGGGACACCCGGGACTTGGACACACGGGACTTGGACACACGGGACGGGACACACAGAACAGGACACACAGAACAGGACACACGGGATGTACAGGACACACGGGACGGGACACACGGGATGGGACACATGGGATGGGACACACGGGACAGGACGTATGGGACACACGGGACGGGACACACGAGATGGAACACAAGGGATGGATCATACGGGACAGGACACACGGGATGGGACACACACGGGACTTGAACGCACGGGACTTAGACGCACAGGACGGGACACACAGAACAGGACACACGGGATGTACAGGACACACGGGACAGGACCCACAGGACGGGACACACAGGACGGGACACACGAGACGGACGGGACGTACGGGACGAGACACGTGGGACGGAGCGTACAAGGTGGGACACAGGCGACGGAATGTACGGGGGACGCAAGGAGAGACGCAAGGAGAGAAGCGAGGGAGGGGGGGGGGACCCACTTACCCTTCCTACAGTGTTCACTCTTGATTTGGAGCTTCCGTGACTGCAGCAATTACTCTTTGGTTCGTTCGGTAAAGTCACGGAGAAAGAAAAATAAATTTCGATTTAAAGCTTTCGTGACTGCGAGGATTCATCTTCTTTGGTTCTTTCGGTGAAGTCACCACCACGTAGAATGAGAATAAAATAATAAAATTGATAAAATAAAATAACACAATAATATTCTCACGACGTTTCGGCCACAACACAAGCGGCCTTCATCAGGTGAAGGGACGAGACTGTCTCGAGGACCTGATGAAGGCCGCTTGTGTTGTGGCCGAAACGTCGTGAGAATATTATTGTGTTATTTTATTTTATCAATTTATTATTTTATTCTCATTCTACGTGGTGGTGACTTTACCGGAAGAACCAAAGAAAAATAAAAATAAATTAAATAACAGCATACGACGTTTCGATTGCAACACAAGCAATCGTCATCAGGTGCAAATGAAAGAAAACAATTATGGCAAACTTATAAATATAATGCAATAAAACACAGAGTCGGCTAACATAAGTCAACACCCTACCTGGTTGATTAACGTTCTTGCAAAGATTGCTAAATTTGAGAGAGAGAGACACAAAACACAGACACACAAGCAGAGAGTGACTCACACAGACAGACACACAAGCGGAGAGAGACAACAGAGAGAGACACAGAACATAGACACGCAGACACACAAGCAGAGAGAAACAACACAGAGAAACAACACAGACAAACAGAGACACACACACAGACAGACACACAAGCAGAGAGAGACAACACAGAGACACACAGAGAGAGACACATAACATAGACACACAGACAGACACACAAGCAGAGAGAGACAATACAGAGACAGAGACACACAGACACAAACAGAGAGAGACTCACAACATAGACACACAGAGAAAACACACAAATATAATGCAATAAAACACAGAGTCGGCTAACACAAGTCAACACCCTACCTGGTTGATTCACGTTCTTGCAAAGATTGCTAAATTTGAGAGAGAGACAAAACACAGACACACAAGCAGAGAGAGACAACACAGAGACACACAGAGAGAGACACAGAACATAGACACGCAGACAGACACACAAGCAGAGAGAGACTCACACAGAGACAAACAGAGAGAGACACACAACATATAGACACACAGACAGACACACAAGCAGAGAGAGACTCACACAGAGACACACAACATATACACACAGACAGACACACAGGCAGAGAGAGACACACAGGCAGAGAGAGACTCACACAGAGACACACAGAGAGAGACACACAACAAAGACACACAGACAGACACACAAGCAGAGAGAGACTCACACAGAAACAAACAGAGACACACATCATAGACACAGCCAGACACACAAGCAGTGAGAGACAACACAGAGACACAGAAAGAGACAGAAAGAGACACAGAAAGAGACACAGAGAAACACACAAGCAGAGAGAGACACACATCATAGACACACAGAGAAACAATGCCTCTGTGTCGAGGCCTTAAATAGAGAGCTAGGGGGGCAGAGAGAGAGAGAGAGGGGGGGGGTAGATAAATTAGAATGTCAATGAGAGATTTGGAGCTTTGGCGACTGCAGGAATTACTAGAGCGACAACATGAGGGCACACAGAGAGAGAGAGAGAAAACACACTTAATCAAACAAACTTAAATTTCGATTTAAAGCTTTCGTGACTGCGGGGATTCATCTTCTTGGTTCTTTCGGTAAAGTCACCACCGCGTGGAAGGGAAATAAAATAATAAAAATAAAGCATAATAAAATTAAATTCTCACGACGTTTCGGCCACAGCACAAGTAGCCTTCCTCAGGTGAAGAAACACAGAGCTGTCTGGAAGATGGCGCTTTGGTGAACACTGCCAAGCTGGGCAGTGTCTTTTAAGCTCTGCTCCTCCCACCTAGCTTAAAAAAGAAGACTGCCAAGCTTGGCAGTCTCCTTTGGTTCTTTCGGTAAAGTCACCACCCACGTAGAATGAGAATAAAATAATACATTGATAAAATAAAAAAACACAATAAAATTCTCACGACGTTTCGGCCACAACACAAGCGGCCTTCATCAGGTGAAGGGACGAGACTGTCTGGAGGACAGCGCTGGACAGACAGTCTCGTCCCTTCACCTGATGAAGGCCGCTTGTGTTGTGGCCGAAACGTCGTGAGAATATTGTGTTATTTTATTTTATCAATTTATTATTTCATTCTCATTCTACGTGGTGACTTTACCGGAAGAACCAAAGAAAAATAAAAATAAATTAAATAACAGCATACGACGTTTCGATTGCAACACAAGCAATCGTCATCAGGTGCAAATGAAAGAAAAGAAATATGGCAAACTTAGAAATATAATGCAATAAAACAGAGTCGGCTAACATAAGTCAACACCCTACCTGGTTGATTTACGTTCTTGCAAAGATTGCTAAATTTGAGAGAGAGAGACACAAAACACAGACACACAAGCAGAGAGTGACTCACACAGACAGACACACAAGCGGAGAGAGACAACACAGAGAAACAACACAGACAAACAGAGACACACACAGACAGACACACAAGCAGAGAGAGACAACACAGAGACACACACATAGACACACAGACAGACACACAAGCAGAGAGAGACAATACAGAGACACACAGACAGACAGAAGCAGAGAGAGACTCACACAGAGACAAACAGAGAGAGACACACAACATAGACACACAGAGAAAACACACAAATATAATGCAATAAAACACAGAGTCGGCTAACACAAGTCAACACCCTACCTGGTTGATTAACGTTCTTGCAAAGATTGCTAAATTTGAGAGACAAAACACAGACACACAAGCAGAGAGAGACTCACACAGACAGACACACAAGCAGAGAGAGACAACACAGAGACACACAGAGAGAGACACAGAACATAGACACGCAGACAGACACACAAGCAGAGAGAGACTCACACAGAGACAAACAGAGAGAGACACAACATATAGACACACAGACAGACACACAAGCAGAGAGAGACTCCCACAGAGACACACAACATAGACACACAAGCAGAGAGAGACTCACACAGACAAACACAGAGAGACACAACATAGACACACAGACAGACACACAGGCAGAGAGAGACACAGGCAGAGAGAGACTCACACAGAGACTCACACAGAGACTCACACAGAGAGACACACAGCGAGACACACAAGCAGAGAGAGACTCACACAGAGACACACAGAGAGAGACACACACCAAAGACACACAGACACACAGGCAGAGAGAGACTCACACAGAGACACACAGCGAGACACACAGCGAGACACACAAGCAGAGAGAGACTCACACAGAGACACAGAGAGAAACACACAACATAGACACACAGACAGACACACAAGCAGAGAGAGACTCACACAGAAACAAACAGAGACACACATCATAGACACAGCCAGACACACAAGCAGTGAGAGACAACACAGAGACACAGAAAGAGACAGAAAGAGACACAGAAAGAGACACAGAGAAACACACAAGCAGAGAGAGACACACACATAGACACACAGAGAAACAATGCCTCTGTGTCGAGGCCTTAAATAGAGAGCTAGGGGGGCAGAGAGAGAGAGAGGGGGGGGGGGGGGGGGGGGGTAGATAAATTAGAATGTCAATGAGAGATTTGGGGCTTTGGCGACTGCAGGAATTACTAGAGTGACAACATGAGGACACACAGAGAGAGAGAGAGAGAAAACACACTTAATCAAACAAACTTAAATTTCGATTTAAAGCTTTCGTGACTGCGGGGATTCATCTTCTTGGTTCTTTCGGTAAAGTCACCACCGCGTGGAAGGGAAATAAAATAATCAAAATCAAGCATAATAAAATTAAATTCTCACGACGTTTCGGCCGCAGCACAAGTAGCCTTCCTCAGGTGAAGAAACACAGAGCTGTCTGGAAGACAGCGCTTTGGTGAACACTGCCAAGCTGGGCAGCGTCTTTTAAGCTCTGCTCCTCCCACCTAGCTTAAAAAAGAAGACTGCCAAGCTTGGCAGTCTCCTTTGGTTCTTTCGGTAAAGTCACCACCCACGTAGAATGAGAATAAAATAATAAATTGATAAAATAAAATAACACAATAAAATTCTCACGACGTTTCGGCCACAACACAAGCGGCCTTCATCAGGTGAAGGGACGAGACTGTCTGGAGGACAGCGCTGGAGCGAAAAAGCCACGCTCAGATCGCGACCTTTAAGCTGTGTGAGAAGAAACAAAGCGCCCTCGACTTTAGCAACACGGATAGCTTAGAGTCGCGGCATCTCTTCAGAGAGGCGAGAGACTCGATTAGTTGAGCCTTCTTATCCCGCTGACTTCCCGACAGCTCTGTGTTTCTTCACCTGAGGAAGGCTACTTGTGCTGTGGCCGAAACGTCGTGAGAATTTAATTTTATTACGTTTTATTTATATTATTTTATTTCCATTCTACGTGGTGACTTTACCGACAGAACCCAGAAGACAAACAAACTTAGTGAAATTTGGAAATGTATTCACTCTCGTCATCCTCGTGTGGTTTAGGAATAGGTTTTTAACCCTTTTAACTGGCACAAAAACTGACACCTTTATTCAAGGCATCATGTTTGCAATAACCACAACACAAGCAGTCAAAATGCAAACAAAAAAGACAACTCTGACAATAATATTGGCACTGTCTTTGAATTTGATTGGTCCACACCCGAGACGGCTTTTCTTAGAGCCTAGTCTCCATTGGTGTTGGACCAGAAGACGCCAAAAGGCGTACAACTCAAAAACAGCCTACTATCAGAGTATTGAGGGCTCGGGGTGAGCATTTACATTATGAGACCTCCTTTGCCAGTAACAAAATATAGGAATAGGTTTTACCCATTTAACTGGCACAAAAACTGACACCTTTATTCAAGGCATCATGTTTGCAATAACCACAACACAAGCAGTCAAAATGCAAACAAAAAAGACAACTCTGACAATAATATTGGCACTGTCCTTGAATTTGATTGGTCCACACCCGAGACAGCTTTTCTTAGAGCCTAGTCTCCACTGGTGTTGGTGCCAGAAGACGCCAAAAGGCGTACAACTCGAATAAAGGCGTCAGTGTTTGTGCCAGTTAAAAGGGTAAAACCTATTCCTATATCTTGTTACTGGCAAAGGAGGTCGTGCGCTTTGTCGTTGTAACTCGTTGATAGCCCCCCCCCCCTCCTCCTCCGCCCATCGGATTCTGACGTCGATTCTGAACCCTGTACCCCCCCCCGCACCCCCCCAGGCAAATCACCACGGAGGAGGGTGAGCAGAGGGCCAAGGAGCTGAGCGTCATGTTCATCGAGACGAGCGCCAAGACGGGCTTCAACGTGAAGCAGGTCGGCGACACCAAACAAATACCGTGACGATAATTTTAAATGACGATACTAACGACGGCGATGATGATGATGATGATTATAATGGTCGCCGTGATTTGTTTACATCTCCAGAGCCTCTGAGAGTCGAGCCCCCTGCTGCTCCTCCTAGTGTAGTGTGTAGTGTATAGTGTAGTGTTGTGTAGTGTGCAGTGTATAGTGTAGAGTGGTGTAGTGTAGTGTATAGTGTAGTGTGTAGTGTTGTGTAGTGTGCAGTGTATAGTTTAGTGTTGTGTAGTGTGCAGTGTAGAGTGGTGTAGTGTGCAGTGTAGTGTGTCGTGTAGTGTGCAGTGTATAGTTTAGTGTTGTGTAGTGTGCAGTGTGTAGTGTAGTGTGTAGTGTGCAGTGTATAGTTTAGTGTTGTGTAGTGTATAGTGTAGTGTGCAGTGTATAGTGTAGTGTAGTGTGCAGTGTATAGTGTAGTGTGTAGTGTTGTGTAGTGTGCAGTGTAGAGTGGTGTAGTGTATAGTGTAGTGTGCAGTGTATAGTGTAGTGTGCAGTGTATAGTGTAGTGTGCAGTGTATAATGTAGTGTTGTGTAGTGTGCAGTGTATAGTGTAGTGTGCAGTGTATAATGTAGTGTTGTGTAGTGTGCAGTGTATAGTGTTGTGTAGTGTAGTGTGTAGTGTAGTGTGCAGTGTATAGTGTAGTGTGCAGTGTAGAGTGGTGTAGTGTGTAGTGTGTAGCGTAGTGTATAGTGTAGTGTGTTGTGTAGTGTGCAGTGTATAGTGTAGTGTTGTGTAGTGTATAGTGTAGTGTGTTGTGTTGTGTAGTGTGCAGTGTGTTGTGTAGTGTGCAGTGTGTAGTGTAGTGTAGTGTGCAGTGTGTAGTGTGTAGCGTAGTGTAGTGTGTTGTGTAGTGTGCAGTGTATAGTGTAGTGTGCAGTTGATAATGTAGTGTTGTGTAGTGTGCAGTGTAGAGTGGTGTAGTGTAGTGTGTAGTATGTAGCGTAGTGTATAGTGTAGTGCACTACTTCAGCCCACCGGTGTGTTGCACATTCGCAAATCGCGCGATTTGCGTAATCG